CAGGACAGAGCATCCCCCTTCTTTGTCCAGGTGTGGGGAGGACCATTTCAAGCTATCCTACATTTAAATATTGCAAGGAAAACATTTATTTTTCTTGTCTATGCACCACTTTCAAGGCGTGAAGAGGATTTCTTTTATTGAAATAAGTCCATATTACATCCTTGCATTGAGCCTAAATTGTTGTAACTGTTGGGTAATTCAATCAAATACATCAGTAAACAGAAATTGGCCAGCCCTATTGGAAGAAAAACAATGCCTCTCATCAAATTATACACTTGATGTTATCACCTGACTCTGGCCAAGACTTCCATATCTGTGCATTGCCATTATTCAAAGTCTGACCAGCAATTCAAGAATACAGAAATCTGGTCCAGCACCTGCTTTGTTATGCAGAATCTGTACACAGAGACTACATGGTGAGTACTGTGAGTGCTCCATTTTGAACCAATATTTGTGTTACAATGTGTTTGTGATCACCTGACATTTCATAGAGCACTACAACCCTTGCATCTCGTACATGTGTACCTTTAATGATTTTTTATCAAACAATTAATTTGTAAGTTTTCATTAAAGCCCATTGTGAACTCAGGGATGCTGGTCCGTCGACCTCCTCTTCCATTTCTTTGGTCAATAATCAAACCTGCGAGCAAGAGCATAACATCTCAGAGGAACATACAAACTTGTTTTTGGCATCAACGACACATCAATCTCGCATCCATCAGCAATCAGTGTCTAAGAGACGATATATGCGTCTGGGAACCGATACAGAATTCTCTGTAATTCCGGTGAAGCCAGCGGTTAGCTTAAAAAGCGTCCGGGGAAGACTTTCTATTCCATGCAGCATTTACATCTGCATCGTAACCACTATAACTTCTTTGTCTATAACGTCCTGTTCCTTTTTTTGAGTCTCAGTTCAGCAGTAGAATGTAAGTTATGCAGCGGCTTCACTCTGGCTTACTTAAGTGATATGGGCCCGGAATACAAACTGAGTTTCTTGTGATTTACTGGCAATTATTGGGAATTTAATTTGTCGGAATAAAAAACATTATGATGCTGATTTTTAAGAAGTAAAACACCAAACTTTGTCAGGTCTGTCCTCAAGAGGAGGAGAAATATTTGATCTTGAATGGATTGTCAGCTGCACTTTATGCAGGTATCTGTGTACAAAGATAAATAAACAATATTTAGAATATCGCCCATGACCGATGGTATGTTATCAGTGCGGATAACGTTCCACCTGTTTGTTTTTTTGCTGTCTACACTGACTGTTTTTCCTGCACACACCAAAGCCTGCTGAAACATAATTGGTCTATACAGCTCAGACTACAAAATGTCTGCAAATGGAAATCAGAACGCTTTCCATGCGGACCCGTGTCCACTTTTTTTTTTACATTTTTACATCGATTCTGTAAACAGAGATTACTGACAGATGAATTCATACAGATGATGAAAGAGAAAGAGGAGACGAGAGTTTGGTGTGCAGTCTAAGTGTATAGCAGCATAACAAGGGTCTGGTCTGAGGCTAGCCTGAGTCAGTCCTTACTATGAGCCTTTAAAAAAATATTATTTTTTTTGTCTTAAAAGTAGGGAGGGTGTCTACTTACCAGACACAAACTGGTCAAGAGTTTCACAGAGAAGGGGCCTGATAATTTAACGCTCTACCTCCCATGTTATTATTTTATAATCCCACATACTGCAAGCACACTTCTTGAGTAATATGGCCCTCTGCGCTCTTAGAGATGCAATGGTGACTGAACATAAGGGTGAGAAAGAGGGTTTAAAATTGTATTCAATAAGTGTAGAAAAGCTAATGCGGGAGAAATATGAACCCATGTCCCTGTCCTTGTCCGAATTAGTGCAGTAATGAACCAGTGAAAAGTCTATAGAGACTAATGAGAGCAGTGTGTTTAACATGCGGTTCATATTGATTTCAGTCAAATCTAAAGTCTTGCAATACTTAAATCCAAACTAAGATGGAATACGCTAAGGCTTAGCGGGATTACTGTTTGTGTGATTTGGTTAATCAACCTAGAGAGGACGCACAAAAAGTGATATCACGTAAAAATCTGATTCTAGTTTAATATTTTTACTAAACAATAATCAGCCTTTCTGTCACCCTCATCATTTATACCATGCCTTGACGAGGACTCAAAGAAGGTTCTGTCCATTCAAATTCTATTAACTTTTGCACAACAGGAATCCTGTCCACTAACGGGGTCTCCAGCTGCCTTGGACAGCTCCTTTACCCCCAAACATCCTTCTTCCCGTTCTCTCACTCTCACTTCCTCACCTGTCAGAGGGAGAATGTCGCTGGCAGATCTAGTCCTCCGGGGTCCGAGTCCTGACAGATGCAGCGATGCTCAGTCAAAACATTTCCCAGCTCCTGTTCGCAAAGTTACTTAAAACTAACAGACAGACACAATAACTGCAGGATAGAGCTGAATAAAACGATGCAACTGGGCGTGATAAACACCACAGAGGTACAGCAGCGCTTGCTGGTGCAGGCTGTTTAGAGCTGAAAAGAGCAATACGGATAGATTCATCGTGTTCAGCTTTCTTTATATTAGCTAACTAAAGCAGCATAAGTGCCTCAAAACCTTTTCTTGGGATTTATATACATAGATAGCTTAAAGGTTTGGTCAAATTTAAACTTTACTGCTGGAAAGCAATGAAAACAAGTTTAACTGACATTTATACACAAGCCCTGGGAGCAACGATAGTTTTATAGACTTCAATGGCTAATTTTTAAGACATGCGTCATTGGTAATAATGTGAAAGTAAAGGTTGGAAACTGTTACAAAGTATGAGGCTCATAAAAAGTTCATGCCTATGTCAAACTGCAGATGGAAACCAAACCCAAATGAAGATAAAGGTTGTAGATTTTCCTGAGCTGTAAAATAGCCTATAATTAATCCGAGTATGATTCTGGATGCGTCTTTCTTATTTACGGATCTTGTCAGACATTTTTTCCCTCCATCACCAGCAAACACAGGAGGGTAAAGTCTAAAAACGTTTCTCCCCCCCCCAGGGAAAAGAAGTTCTGTAGATCCACTCTTCCTAGAGTCTGCTCTCTGCTGTGGCTGATCATTGTGGCAGCTTTCCAGCTCTCAGCAGGAAAGGAAGTAGCTCTCAGGGGTACTGCTCAATTCGCCCTCTACTGGGCGGAAGTCAAGCCTCAATGAGGCCGTCAGTGGGATAGGTCATGCTGTCAGAGCGCACCAGAGTTCACATCCTCTCATTAGACTGCAACACTTTACTGGGGGGAAAAAAGCTAAGTCAGGGAAGTTGGGCTGAATTATGCTTGTGATAAAAGGGGCTGATGTTGATGGGATCATGCAGGTGTAGTCAGGTAGACTGTGTGTGTGTGTGTGTGTGTGTGTGTGTGTGTGTGTGTGTGTGTGTGTGTGTGTGTGTGTGTGTGTGTGTGTGTGTGTGTGTGTGTGTGTGTGTCGCTGTTGCTTTCTCCCAGCACACGCTCGCACATTGCACGTGTAACTTATCGGTTTACACCCTGTGTTGACGACAAAAATTCTCAGCTGCTGAAGTGAGAAATGAGGCTGCGATGTTGCGGTTCAGGTTGTTGTATTTGGATCAAGTTTGGATTTAGTGTGTGAGTCAGCAGAAAGATAAACTACATCCAGAGACACTGAAGAAACAAAGGCTTGTGCAGCCTGATTCTAAAGATGAACTGCAGTAAAATGATGATGGCTGGTTGGAGTGACAACTGTGATATGTGCTGGAAGTGTGTATTTTACTTTGTGTATGAATTATTTAAACACTGCAAGAATGTCATGCATTATCTGCATCTGCAAGTCGATTGCAAGAAAATGTAGCCTGAATGCAACTTTAAAGACTTTAGAGTCCGATTTCCGTCCGGTGAGGTGCAGTTTTTGGGGCCTGAAAAAACTGCTCAAAGACACAGTACTCAACAAACAAGCTGAAAACTTTATTCGTCGAAACATTTGTACAGAGTTGCTGAATTACATCTTATATTTTGCTAGATAGTTTTATACATTTACCAACAGTGGTTTAGAAAGGCAACTCCTAATGGAAACAATGGCATATGTATACAATACAAATTAGCAAACATATCAAAATCAGTTTTTACAACTCTTGTAGCAACCAATTCTTTCTATTGGTGTGCCATAGTGCAAACTGCGTTGTTTGTAAGACAGAGTTTAAGCGTGATCTCAACATTCATACAATTGGAAGAATCCTTTCCCTCTGTCTTAAACACATTTCTTTATTTGTCGGCTGCATTCTTTGTGCCTTCAGTTCAAGTCCTTCTGTCCAGTAATGTGAATTTACAATCAGAATAATTCAAGTGTATCGGGCAGGTCAGGCTGTTTGCTTTTTTTGTTGGATAGTGAAGATCATGATTGAGCAAGAACGCTCCTGGGTAGGTTATGTTTCTGTGTGTAATTATGGAAGAGTACATAACAAGTCGACTCCTACAGTGATTGTTTACAATGGTGGAACATTTTTGTGTCCGTAGGATCAAATGTCACAACGTCAACACCTGCACTTAGGATATGCATCCCAGTTGTCTGTGCTGTTTAAGAAAAATCAAGGTATAGTTTGATCACATCCAAGAAAGGAAATGAATTGTGAATTGTTTCATGGGTAGCAAAGTGAGGTTGTCCTGCTCCTTTGAACCTATGTGTCCTAAAACATGTTCCACCAGTGTGAAACGTTACTCTAAAGAGTCTTCACTTACAGTTCAAGCCCTTTCAAAAAGTCAATGAGGATTCCTGGTTTCACTCTGAAAACATGACTGAAAATTGATTATCACAAACATAGTTTAGCAAAAAAAAAGTGTAATAGCTGGTTTGTTGGCTACGAGTGGAGTGATGGCGCGCAGGTATGATCTGTCGGCATGTTTGTATAAATGGACAGAAGACCCGAGACTCAGGAAAATACGTTTTTTGGATAACTTTGATTTTTTTTTTTTTAAATCTACATTCATGTCCCAGCGTGTGTGTGTGTGTGTGTGTGTGTGTGTGTGTGTGTGTGTGTGTGTGTGTGTGTGTGTGTGTGTGTGTGTGTGTGTGTGTGTGTGTGTGTGTGTGTGTGTGTGTGTGTGTGTGTGTGTGTTTTCCTGCATCCCTCTGACTTCAAGCTTCTCTGGCTAAGATTTCACTGAAGAAAAGAAAAGTAAGAGCTATGTTGGTTGTGAAAGCGCTCGGGCTGTTGGAGGCCTCTACTCTGGTTCTATTGCACCGTGTTCTGCAGGAAAGCTCTGGAACTGGTGGGTCGGTTTGTGTCAAAAAGTCTTAAAGTTGGAAGCCGGATTGAGCCGCGGCCCCTCCGTCCTCCCCTCCCTCTCGCTGCGGCCTCCGTGCGGACTCAAGAGCATCCACACCGGTCCACCACCATGGAGGGGATCTTGCCGTAGATGATCTGCTCCTTTCGGTTAAAGTAGAGCATGTTGATGGGCGACATCTTGGTGGGGGTGCAGCAGGGGCCTGCAGTCCCTCTGGGGTTGGCTTTGTTCACGAGGTGGGTGTGCGGGTACTTCTGCAGGTGCATGTAGTCACACTCCCCGGAGCAATAGTTGGCCTTGTAGCGCTTTGGGGCAATAATCCAGTCCCAGCCAAAGTCTTCAAAGTCCACTGTGAGCGGGTAGCGGCAGCACCGGGACTCTGGAGAGTTCTCATCACAGTCCAGGCCCGGGTTTCTCCTGACTCGCCTGGGGCCCTCAGAGACCTTCACCTCCATGAAGGGTTGCTGCAAGGAGAGTGTTTGTGAATAACTTTGAAAACAGCTGATTTGCGAAAGGAGGCACATGACAGATTTCTGCTTGCATCCTTTAATCTGCTACCATTGACCTCTTACAGCTGGCTTTCAAATATGGCCCGATAATATTATGAAACTTTGAGTTTTAGAGAAATTAAATCATCTCTCGGTTGGTTTGCCTCAGCCCTTGAGGTATTCTAATTGCTTTAGAGCCTGGTGCCAGTATTTGAGCCGTATGATAAGTGTTTGTCATTGATAGCAGCAGTGTGTATGAGCAGGCAATTACTTTGATTTGCACAGTCACACAGAATACTTTGAGGAATGTGGGGCAGGTGAACTTTCAGGTAATCCAGCAATAAGATTTCAGCTTATTGTGGACCGGGCATCTGTCCAAATGCAGGTACATGAAGTCTCTGTTGATTAAACACTTTCAAGAGTCTTAAATCTGGACTCTTTCTTCCAGCAGTGAATTGTATGAATGTTAGACCACCTGCTGACTCTGCAAAAGCTCTCTGTAAACTCAAACCCCTGCACTCGAATTTAAAACCCCAGAATAATATCCAAACACATTGTCCAAATTGTTTTCAAGATTTTACAAACTGAATTTATAGACAGAAACTGAATTTATAGACAGAAACTGAACTTATAGATAGATGTGTGTTTCTTTTTTTATTGTAGTAGCGTCTCATACTATTTCGGATGCTGCAGCAGTGAATACTAATGCATTTAATGATATTCAAAATTTCAGCTCAATACAAAATAAAAGTTCATCTCACCAGTCCTTCCTCTCCGGGCTCTGCGGAGGTCACAGCCAAGTCGTTTCCCCTCGAATCGAAGGCGTTAATCTCGATGCCCCAGTTGGTCTCCGGCTGTCGCAGCCACACAGTCAACACTTGTTTCACGTCTATACTTTGCCAAGAGCTGACCCCGGCATTCACTTCGATCTTCAGGGAGCGGATGCGTATGTGTCTGTTCCCGTCTGTGACCGGCATCAGGCGGGAGATTTGCAGGAACACAGTGGTCGCCTCCTCCGCCGGGCGCAGATGCACCCAGAGTTGAGCTCGGACTATTCGATTGGCTTGAAACTTTTGGGTGAAGGAGAAAAAGCAGCACTTTGGCTCTGCGTCAACTTGGACGATGGACTCGGCTGCAGAGAGAAAGAATACAAAAATGATGTTCTCTATGAACGGAACACATGCAATTAAAATTGTATTGATCAACAAAAAAAACTTGTATAAAAGTATCTGACACAAGTACACCAATCAAGTTTGGATAACCTTACACTATTGCGCACAATGACCGCACAGCAATGCCCTAACAAAATGCCCCGACCCATGCTTATAATAAATTACTATAATCTTGGTAATGTTGTAGTTTGTTTATTTGCAACATCACAACCTAGTAAACATGCGTGGTGTGATAATTAAGCGTGCTGACAGTGTCTCTCTTGCGCTTCGCCCGTGCGTAAAAACCTGTTTTGTCGACTACTAAGCGCGTCTTTCCCCATTCTGTATTTAACAAAGATAAATAAGCACTCACGTTCAGTGGCCATCATCATTATTGTTTCCGTTGTGGCATGCTCGTCGTCCTCCTCCATCACCACATCCTTGTTGTCGTCTCCCAGCACGTCGTACTGGTCCAGGAGCTGCTGCAGCGGAGGCGCTTTGGGCAGGAGCTGCTTCACTATGTCTCTGCTGATATTAGGAGCTTCTTTCATTCGCAGTTTGCTCAGAATCTGAGATTTAATGGCGTTTAGTCGCATGGTTTTAATCTGCTGCCGGACCTCGCAGGTCGCGCATTGCTCCGTGTCTTCTGGGCTGGTGGCGGAGGGCTGCTGGTTCGTCTCCTGGTCACTCAAAACTACTGCACCCAAAGCGATCAGCAGGCTAACATACAGCACAATCTGTGACAGACGCATTGTCTCTAAGGTGTGAAGTTTAGTTTGACAAAGATCCCTTGATGTGTGCTGGACCTGACCTGCCCGACTGGTTTGGATTAATGTCCCACACTGATAGGCATCATAGTTTATCAGCGCACACCTTTTTATACTCCAACTTTAGCCTCTTTTGTGTCGTCAAAAAAGATGATTGGCTGGACAGGCAACAATGAATTTTAACCGACTGACATGAAAACTTTTTTTCGTTGTCAAACCATAAAGGGACGGAGACTGTGAGCATGTGCTGAACGCGTCTGCAGAATATTTACTTTTATTTACTGTCATTACGCAGAGACACAGACCGGACTGTCTATAACGCAATATCTCCCTTAACTAATTAGACTTCATACTTCATGAAAGGGAGATTGTTTTAGTTATTTTATGCGATAACACTTCACAAAGGGGTACACATAGACTTAATGTAATGTTTAACTATGCAAAACTAAAGATGATTTAATGCAGATTAAATCATGAAATCCTGTCGCTCATCATTAACCAAAACTCCAGTATTGCATCAAGCATGTTTACGGTTTGCTGAAAATCAATACAGATCAACTGGATTCCAGCCGCGTCACATTATTTCCGATTATTTCATGTTTGCTCCGTTTCTTTGACTGTGATCAAGCTTCCTCTTTAACCAAAATTGTTGTCATACGCAAACATTTTGTGACGTAAAGCGTCATAAATAGACTTAAAAAACTATCTTGATTATTCTTAATATGTGTCTAAAGTCATAGTGACCTGGTTGTTTGTCAATGGTGAGCAACAGTAATAGCCTACATTAATTCAGGAATTAAAGCACCATGCCTCCTTGTGCATTATTACGCATTACTGAGGTATTGTGTATGTTCCTTTTATGGTGCCAGAGTGTGCTGCATGTTAATATGATACACATTGTTCAAAAGTAAACACACAAAAAACTTTAGATTTTGCTTCTTTTTTTTTTTTTTTTTTTTTTTTTTATAAATGTTTTTACTTTGGCCACAGTAAGGTTATCACACTTGAGTTGTCTTTAATAACAGGTTCATGGATGCAGAAATCTGTCTGGTTTTGGAGAAACATTTATTTCTTGAGAAAAGAGAGTTACTATTATAAGAAGTTCTCGCGTGGATTAGTTTCTAGCGGCTCATATAACTTTAGGAATGGAGCTAAATCGTTGCCTTTAAAAGTCTATAAAATTACTACAAAGAAAGATATTCCCTCTCCTCTCCTTGGTAAAAACCTGGTTTCAGTAGCCTAGTCTACATAAGAGGACAGTGCCACCTTGTGGCGGATTACAAAAGACACATCAGAAATTCAACCACCTGCAGTATGACCCAATAACCCCTGGGTATCAAATACTCACAGTCAACAAATGCAGTCAAATGAGCCATCTTTTGCAAAAACCCCGGCCAAGCAACCCGCCCTTGAAAAATAATGCGTGTCTATATCGGGGTTTACGGTACAAGTGCTTAGAGCACCAAAAAATAATGAATGCGGCCGCGTATTTCAGCAAAATATACCATCAGTAATAACTGCAGGCAGAAAGAAAACACAATGTTAATTAAAGGTACATTCTGCTCAAATTGCACTGAGACGCTTTGATATTTTAGTCATTTTGATTATTTTATTTTGAAAAATCTGTGACAGGTGACAAGAAACTTTCAATGGATTATTGTTCCTCATGTCCCTGGCTGTGGTCCTGAGAAATCTCAGCAAATTTTACTTTATAGTTTTTGAGATAATTAAAGGTAAATTCTGCTCAAATTGAATTGAGATGCTTTGATATTTTAGTCATTTTGATTATTTTATTTAAAAAAAAAAAATCTGTGACAGGTGACAAGAGACTTTCAGTGGATTCTTTTTCCTCATGTTCCTGACTGTAGTAAGTACACTTTTTATTTTTTGGAGAAGTTCTCCGTGTCGCCGCCAGATGGCAGTGTTGCAGCGGCCCACGGTGGTTCAACGCCGCTCTCAGTGCGCAGCGCTCGGACTCTCTCTCCTCCTGAGCACCGCTGCAGATCGATCAAACCGTGGAGCGTGGATCCGCGGAAGTCAGTCTAGTCCAGACCTCTCATTTCATCTCTGCTGCGGAGCTGCACACACTGCCGACCGACGTGAAGGCAACAGGGAGGTAGCTCTACCAACATCCTGGGATTTTTTTGTGTGTGTGTGTGCTCAGAGATTATTCTAAAATCCGGGTTGGAGCCTTATTATCCTACAACAACAAAACCAGCGAGCAGCAACAGCAGCAACTTGGGAGGAGATGATTTCGTGCTAAAAAACCTTCAAGTTTCAAGTTCACGTCGCCCTGATGCTGTTTGAGGTGAGGACAGAGGAACCGGCGCGACACCACATGATGTCCGGATTATTGTTTACTTGAACGACCTTGGATTATTTCTTCTATGGCCGGATTCTGTTTTTGTTGAAATGGAGACACACCTGATGCTTTGTCCAATCCCTGTTAAAAGTATGTACATCTCTACAATATCACAGCACATTCTGAGTACAAATAATCTCATGCTTGCAGACACATTTTCCAGAGCATGTTTGTTTCTCAAATAATTCAGTTGTCAAATTCAATCCCAATCCCACGTGTCTGTCAGACATATAATGGATGCTTCCAGAGCATTAGGAACATTTACATTAAGGCATGTTTACATCAATTTAAAATCCTCAATTTATTATCAAATTCTGGCTGCAGATTTTGAGTTCAGTGTCCTGTTTGCACCTCTGAATGTTGTTTTACTCTCAGGGAAACTCCCCATTCTGCATAAATCATTCATGGCCTCAGACTACAGCATGCATCTTTGTGAATGAAGCACATGTTCACTGTGCACAGAGGCCTGCAGTCCCAGAAAAAAAAGGAGCTGTCACTGTGAATCAGGCTGCTCGGCTCCACCAGTGTAACAGATGGGAGACGAAGGCTTACAACCAAACAGCATCAGTGCACTCAATCTAGAGACAGACGTCCCTGTGTCATGCAATAGCAAACAGGCCGAGGGATTGAGTCATAAAACACTGTGAGGAAGAGGAGGGAGGGGGTGAATGATTAATACGTGGATGTGCAGCGGGTTAGAGCGTGGTTAAATGTGACCGTGCAGAGGTGCCTTGACCTCGAGGATCACGTAGTCGCCACGTCCACTGTGAGAATCGTTCACAATCCTCTCCACGCTCCCACCATCTGGTATTTGTAGTCTGCACGAAAATAAATCACTAAAATCCTCTCTCTTTTTATTCCCCCTCTCTTTATCTCTCTGCAGCAAAGGAAGGAATGAAGTTAAAGGCCGGTTACAACATCAGCAGACCTACATAGAAATGGACCCCTTTGCCTCAACACCCTCTAAATCAGCAACACCTTTTACTTTGTACTGCTGATCGTCACACATTTGGGTGCTCCGATATGGAGGAAAGCAGGAGTGGATGACAGGAAGGCGACTCTTGCAGAGAAAACTCGAGAGGCACAGAGTTGCTTCAGGGATGAACTGACCGCTCACTTCCGAGAAACAAAATGAAAACATTGAGGTCTAAATTTGAACTCTAAAAAAAAAACTCTTTCTGACGCCATAAATCTCTCTCTCCCCCCCCCCCCCTTTTTAAATCAAACCAATGCTACATCCTCCAGACTATGGGGTGCGTTAAATCCAAAAGGAGCGACTCTGCAGGACAAAATGCAAACTCTACGGAGAAATTCGAAGGCAAGTCCAAGAAGTTGAAGGGTGAGAAAGCGTACTTGGTGCATTCAGAGATGGGATCACCTGAGATCTCGGCGCCGGTCAACCCGGTGCTGTTGGAGTACGCCCACCGGCTCTCTGAGGAGATTGTGGCCCGGGCCGTGCAACAGTGGGTGGAGGTAGACCGCCGGTACAGCGATATCCCGTACATAGAGTGTGATGTGCCATGACATGGGAGGCGGGGATGTCAAAGTGGAATTGGACCGGGACAGGTTGAGATGGCCCTGACCTTGACCCTTAAGGTTCGACATGTGATTAAACAACAGTCTCACACTCGTTCATTCAGAACGTATCCTTCAAGCATTTACCTGCTGGGGGCCAGAATATGAATGAGCTGTCACTAATTCAGCTGTGACCTACTTTGGGATTGGATTATTCTTGAATTGAGCCTACAAACCCTCCTCCGGAACAGCCAAAGCACTCTGATCTGGTTCTCGGTTCTGTGATTATCTGCATCAGAGCCGGAGTGTTCGCCAATCGGATATCATCTTTCTCAGACCTTATATGTCCCCTCTCCAAGTAGGTGTTGGCTATCCTGTGGCTGGACTTACAGCGCAGGGCGAGAAATCCCGTCAGACATTGCCTGGAACCAAAGTGAAATGACCCTGTCCGGTGATGCTGCAACACGTCCAAGATGCTCTCCTCTTACGGGGAGAGTTATTAATAGATCCCTTCATCTGGCGAGGGCACTTGAAAATCCTCCATCGTATCATCGGGACAGAAACACGCCCAGCTGTTTGGCTCCTTCTGGTCTGACAAACGGCCTGAAGTTCTCCCTTAATGGCCTCCCTGGAGACTCTGCGGTTGAGCTGCATTGTGGAGCTTCTTCCTCGGTGTGTTTGTCCCTCTCGCCATTAGGCAGCCTCGACCGCAGCCTCAAAATGGATACAGGAATTCAAGCGTTCAAATTATGCATTTCCTGCACTCCAGGATATTCTTAATACACAAGACACCGTTGGAAAACTTTGACTTCAGGACCCAGAACATATTTGAGCAGCTGCTCTCTGTGCCACAGAGAAACCAGTGCACAAGAACAGTGACACACTTTCCTAAAATAACTCGTCAACAGAACTGGAGCTTAAAAAAAACACAGAAAAACACATGATCGTGGCTAAATTGTAAGTGATTTTACATAGACTGTATTAAAAGATGAACGACACGACAGCTCGCCTAAAGTGAAGCCAAAGCATTTGGAGCTCCCCCTCCTAACTGTCTGCAGTATAGGTCATAAGCCCTGCCTCCTATTTGTTAACAGATGGCACAAATCAAACTAGAAAATCAAAACACACGTCAAATAAATGTTTTTGTCAAGCATGGTTTCTGTCTTAATATTTAGTTCTTATCGTGCT